GGTTTCAGATGGGATAAGAAAGACACCTTAAGTGCTTTTACAGGGACTAAACTCAGGAGTGATTTTACAGGATTGGGACTGAATGCCTCCAGATATGCTATCTATTAGGACTCATTTTTCCAATACCTTGTTGTTTATTCATCTGACAAATAGAGGGGAAAGGCTGCAGTCAGCTCTTTGTGTACATAGATAATTTTCCCTCCACAATCTTTAGATTTCTGAGGTCCAGAATCTAAAAGTTTCCCAACCAAAGCCAAGAAACATCTGATTCAGAATATCAAATGGAAAGGGTGAGAGCTCAGTGGACTATGGTGGAGGACTATGGGTACTTTGTTGGTGGGAGAGCTACAGTGACCACACCTGAGGAAAAAGAAATCCTATACTGTCAAAAGAAATATATAAAACAATGATGCTTCATTACCAAAAGAATATCAAATGGTGGTGCGTGGTATCCCATTAGCCTTGGAGTCTCCTTTCATATCCTTTCCCTGCCTGACTGCTTTACTGGAACACTGAAGTATCAGCTCTGTAAAGCTCTTCCTCATTAACCCAGTCAGTGATCTCTTACTTTGCCTTTGACCTCTGCATAATTTTCCGTGATCTTTCATCATCTCATACTCTTACCCTAAGGGGTTAGATGAATTTTATTTTATCTTCTCACATCACATTTTATTTCTACCATATAATAATGTTGCCTTATAATTGCATATCTTTTTCTTTATAGTTAGAATTTCTTTAGAAAGAGACTGAATCTTGATTATATCTCCATTACTAATAAAATAGCAGACCCATAGTAATTTCTCAGTGGATGTTTTAGACCCCTAAATGAATGAATCGTGTTAGTATTTTTTTAAACTATATTTATTTGTATTACGTTTACTGAGGTAACATTGCTTTACCACACGGTATGTAAGTTTTAGGGCCTAGATACACATACTAGAAGAGACAAGGTCAAAGGAGTGCAATTTAAGGGCCTATTCTCACAAGATTTTTTTTTTTTAGTTGGTTAAAAATTTTTTTTAAATTTTCTTACATTGTTGTTCATTTTTGTACAATATTTCATTTCTCCCCTCAGGTGTAGTCTCCATAAATCTCCCACCACCTCATCGCCCCAGAACCATCACCACTGTCCCTTGTGATCTTGTACCTCCCCTCTTTTGACCTTGTCCGTCCTGCTCCCTTCCCTTGCTGTTTGTCTCAAATCTATGGTCAGCTTGCAAGGTTTGTCTCTTTTTTTGACCCTTTGAAGAATATGCTATTTTGAATGAAACATTTAGGTCAGTGTTTTATTTGGGTAAGTCAGTTCTTGCACTGCCACACACAAATTTGTTCTGCAGATTAAAACTCTAAATGTCTATTTAAGTACTTTATAAGCTCTAAAACACTCTAAGAGATACAAACCTCTGATACACACAAAATATTTCTACTGTTTCTGGTGATGGGATGGGTCAAGAAGAAAATCTTTAGAGTTTTCTTTGTCAAATATTTATCATCACTTGTTCAAATACTTTAAAGTTACATGGTTACATAAGCATATGGTACAATTTTCCAGCATATTTGGGTCAGTTGCTCAGGATATTCTGGAATAAAATATATCAAGATGTTAAAATCAGAAAAATACAACCTGGGAAATAAGAGATTTAGAAACATGAATCTGTCTAAACACCCTATTTTTAAAACACCAGAACCCACTGATGGCTTGTCTTTGTAGATAACCCATGTTTTCCAGGGTTAGCATTGCAGATCTCTGAATCCTGATTATGTCATATATTAATAATCTACATCTTAGATAACCAGGATGGAAGGATTTCTACACTGATCACCTGGTGTAGCTACCTTGTTATCCCTGAGAGAGAGAAAAGGGAAGGGAAAACTGTCTTTAAAGAAATTTGTCACCAAATTATATCTTAAATCTTACTTTCTTGGAGAATAATGCTGACCTTATGAAAATTCTAAAGTTCTTCCCTAATTTTGGGTTTAAAAATTAACCTAAAGGAAGACTTGAACGTGTCCTTTCCCCTAATATTCATACTGGTTCTAGCGGGCCTTCTAAGGGCTGGATATATGACAAATAGGGAGCACCCCCAAATTCTATCACACAAATAATGCTCACTTTAACTTTTAGAATGAAAAAATACTTACGAAGAATGAAAATTTGGGGAAAAATCAGAGTTTTTAATTCCTTTGTACCACCTCTGTTGCAGTTCCCTTGGCCCATGTTAAGTCTGATCTTCTTTGGAAGTGAGTGAAGGGGTAGGTAAAACCTGCGGTTAGGGTTTTCAATAACCACACTTGAGTTGAAGACTCTAGAGAGACCAGCTGGTCCAGAGTTCTCATCCTGTGCTACCAGCCAAGCTCACAGAAGAATAACCATATCTTATGGTAATTGTTGATCAGAATGATAGGTCCTCTCAACTGAAGGTACACCCCCATGGAAGAGGGAGCTATATTAAATTATTGGGAGAAATATGAGATTTGGGAAAAGATTCAAATCTCTATGAATTTGGCATCCCTTCTCCCTACATTGAATGGTGTATCTAAACAACCCTTTCATTTACACATGAGAACTGAGGTTTAGAATGTTACGTCACTGTCCTCAAATTACATTGAAATCCAAAATCCTAATTTCTATTGCAATATAATTTTTTCTATTCTCACACTATGGGTTAAAAATAATTTATGTGCATATGGTATCTATCTTCAGTGGACCTTTTTGTTTGTCTGCTTCTGTGTAATCATATTGTTAATCTGCTTTATCAGAACTCTAGTGGGAAGACCTTAGTATCTAAAACTAAGAAAATAATGGGGTAAGATAAAGCCTCACACAGATTTCCAGTTTTCCTTACCGTTTGCTATGTCTCGATATAAGCCCAAACACCCCCTATTTATGACCTCCATCACTTTTATGGTATTTATATTCTTCCACTCAAGCACATCTCATTTGTTAGATTTTTGCCTCTTTACCATGTGTTCCATAAGGATATACAATATCTAGGTATAAACGAACTTTTATTACTATCAGTAATAATATGAATTGTAACGAAGGAGAAATTTCTGACTGTTAAAATTAGTATTTTTATGAATTATAATTAGAAAAACAATAATGCTGTCACATTTTAAAAGGCCTAGCCTCACAAGTAGATAAATTATATTTATTGGTCTTAAGCTACCAGTAAGAGGCTATTATAATGTTACTTTTTGTGTCTCATTGGTAGCAGCCTTGCAAATTATGATAGAGATCTAAGGTGAATCTGTATCGCCTGTTTGATAACATTCCTATGACTCAGGCAACATACTGATTCTGTTTTGACAGATGTAGGATAGACACCTCAACAAATATAATAAAACTATTAGTGTGTCCATTCTAAAGGAGAGAAAACAGACACTTAGGTGGTTAAACAACTTGCCTAAAAGTCACTGTATAAAAAAGCAGAATATGTGGGATTGCAGCAAGAAAATCCTCATCTGTCAAAACAGAATTAGTTTTATCAAGATTCAGGATTTCTCATGGCAGCAAACATGTGGCTGAGCGTAACTTAAAATTGTAGTTGTATGCCACCAGGCCAGGGTACACTATGTACCTTGTTGGTACTTTATATCATATTTTAATTTACACAAAAAACCTGTGCATGGAGATTGATGGCCTACGTTTATTTTTATGGTGACCATTGATCACTCAATTAACAGTTCAGAATTTAGTCATAATTTAAAAATAGATCACCTAGGTGAAGTTGCTCTAAAAAGTTTACAGATCACAAATGAGAATTTTAAACATATTACATGTACTGTATTCATTATTATGAGTCAAGTCAAGTCAACAATGTTAGGTTCATTGGTAAGATGGTATCATATTAGTTGATATTCCTTAATCCTAATTGATAGAGATCTATAACAAAATGGAAACAACAGGAAGCTTCTCATTGAAGGAGCAGGCATGGGTAGCAGAGTCAGACAGGTTCTTGCTGCAATCCCACATATTCTGCTTTTTTATAGAGTGACATTTAGGCAAGTTGTTTAACCGCCTGAGTCTCTGTTTCCTCTCCTCTAGAATGGACAAACTAATACTTTTATTATATTTGTTGAGATGCCTAGTGATAATGTAATGGGTGCAGAACAATGTCTGGCATGTTTTGCAATCCAGTAAATCACAGCTGTGGTTTTCATGATTATGCACATTTTAGTTTATCTATATTATAACTGAATTGAATAATAACAAAAAAAATTGGTGTTTTATTACGATCACCTTCACTTTCACTACTAATCTGCTTTCCTTATAGGTATGGAGCAGACTTGTTCATTAAAGGGGAACTCTTTATTCTTTCTAAAAGGCCAATTAGGAGTGAAAGTGTAAGAGTTACAACAACAACAAAAATATAGGTTAGCTGGAGGTAAATTTCTTATGTAAAAAGGAGTTCCTTGAAAATAGTTTAGAATATCAAATCACCGGCTTCTTGGGCAAATAATTCCATTTCTTTGCACTTCAGTTCTGATGTGACAAGAAAAGCCTCTAAGATCTTTCCCAGTACAATTCTACATTCTGGGTGCTATGAAATGCCCTAGAGAGAATCATTACCACTAATTTAAAATCTGGAAAAGGGAACAAGTAAATACATTTTTTGCTTGACTCAAGTAATCTCATGGGGGTTCAACATGTGTTGGTGGTGTCTGCAAATCTGGAGGAGAGGAGGTCAGTGCTGAGTCTGGATTGGGAGAATTCTCAGATCATCCCTGCTGGGATTTGAAAGACCAGCTGCTGAAGATCTCTGATGCCAAAAACCTAACATTTCGGGTAAAACAAAAAGCAAAGAATAATTTCATTAAATACCTAGAAATTGAATGCCTAGTTTTCTGAGGTACCGCACCAAGAAAGAAAAGAAATTCTCATTGGCATCTCCTATACCTGTAAATATGTAATAAACACATTGATGATAAACATGTCAACTGGTATATATTGCTGTACATAAAATATAGAATATAACATCATATTTACTTATTTGCAGCAAAACCAAGGCAAATGTCCAGCTCAGAATTGTTCGGTGGAAGCCCCTGCTTGGATGCCTGTCCATCACTGTACTGTAAGTTTAATTATTCCATGATTGGTCAGATTAAAGAAAAATTATTTCTATATTTGGAGATAACCTTGTTGGCATGGCCTAGAACACTCTGAAATTCTGGAACAGAGTAAACCTTTTGAAAGAAGATAGAATGTCTCTTCAGAATGCTTTGCGTTGCAATAAATATCTGTGATTAGCAATTCCATGCAGTTTTTGGAATTCGCATAATTTGCAAAGGATTTTTCTAAGTGGATTTTGATGATTTATATTTGAATAGATATTAAAACGGATCTATTTGTACATAAATTTTTCTCACCAGCTGTGTATTCGGCAGTACTTGATTTTAGATGCTTCAGAAAAGAGTGGCTTCTTTTGTGATTGTTTTGTTCACTGTATAATAGTGATGCATACCCAGAACTTGTATTTCTCAAGTTTTTCTGGTTTAAATAATAGTCTCTATATATTGGTGTCATTATTCCTGTGTTATAAATGGAAGACTTAAATGCAAAGAGAGTGAGAGTAATGCATCAGTTCTAAACCTGAACTAGAATAGATCCTAGATATCCAAACTTTCTACTCCACTGTACTCTGAAGTTAGTAAGCAAAATGACTGATTTGTATGATATTCTGTCATGTAACTATTGCCTGGTGGAAATGGCAATGTTTCCTCTGGTTGCTCTGTGGCCTGCAGCTGATAGTTCGTCATGAAATAATTTGAGTATAATGGGGACAAGAACTTCGAAATTTACTTTTTAGTCATTCTTCTCATTTGACCTACCTTACAGGCAATGTACAGGCAATGTATAGGCCATGCATGTAGAATGACTTAAATGTTCTCATTTATTGCTGTTGAAAGATGCAGAGGGACTGTTTTAACATGACATGACTGTGTCGTAGGGTACTAGATCGGGGGAGTCCACTTTTTACTCAGATCCTGGAAGAGAGTCCTTGTTTGTCTGTGGAAAGATAGGTAGGCTCACCTTCAGTGAAGGAGAGATGATGATGTTAAATTTTGAAGACATTCCTGCAGTGCAGAGGCTGCCTAGGCTTGCCAGAGACTTGGAGATTAAAAATGTCACACTTTTGTGAGCAGATGGTCAGAGGGGAGTACATGCTTAGGGACTCTGCTGATGCCAGAGAAAGAATGAGTTTTAATAATTCTATTTCTTTATCCATCACTTCTTTTAGTGTCTCCCTGATGACACCATCTCACGATTACAAATTGGTGTCTATTTCTCCCAGAAGATCATGTGCTTTTCAGGGTCCTAATATACCCATACCTGATAAATTCCTGGTACATGCTGGGAACTCAGAATGCAGGTTCAATGAATGACACTTCAATCTGTTAATTTCCTCTTTAGTAACTTGCTTAACATCTCTTATATATGTTGGTAAAGAGCAATATTTATAATAATGTTACCTTCTTCAATGATAGATTTCTATCTATCACCTTCAAGGATTTTTTTTGTATGTTCTCTCTTCTGGAGTACCAACGATGATATTTTGGGGACTTTTGTTTTCAAACTAGAAAAAATTTAGTATTTCAACTCAATCAAGTAATGTTCCAGTTTCTAGATATACAGACATGAATAAGATTGTGTTCCCATTTCATCAAGCACCTCCATGTACAACACCAATAAAAAATTTGATTAGGGACTGATTTTCTACCACACTGATAATTTCAGGCCAAAACAAAAGAAATTTGACATTTTGTGCAATCTTATTGCAAGTAAATCCATTATTAGAATTCTGTCTTTTGTATTATTAAAAATATCAATCCTGCATTTTTATCTTTGAGTTGGGCCCCTTAGGATATAGGAATCCCAGGTTTGGTCTCCCTTTTGCAGCATATTCAAAACTAAATAGATGACTGTGTAGAACATCCTTCCTGAATATCACAGGTCAGAAATGCCAACATTAAAGTCTGATTCTCTGCTCTTGTAGTCAAGTGAAAGCTTCAGAAAATAGATATTTCTTCTTGCATTTATCACAGAAGTGAGATCAGCTTGCTTCATGGATTTTCTTTGTCATTTACTTTAAAAATAATTACATCTTCCAGAGAAGCAGAAACTTTCTAGAGGAGTTGTACAACCCATAATGATTCTGCTTTCTTTGAGAGTAACCCTCACATACAAAGCTACCCCAGTGCCACGCTTCAGCTCTGTGAGTCTGCCTCTGGCCTTACTGACTGATCCAGGGCTAGTGTTCTCATCCTAGCTGGGTCATCTGAATTCTCTTTCCTGGGAGTATAGAATTTGTACTGGAGCATTGTTAATCAGGCAGTCATCAGTAATGGATCTTCAAATGACAATACTCTGAGCAAAATTCCATGAATCTTAGTTGCTGTAATTCCTAGAGCTGTTGTGTATCTACGCTTCTGAGGTTTTTACCGACTCAAATTTCCTTTTGCTTCTGTAAAATTATCTCAAAAACGTAATAACCAATATATCACTTTTTCTGTTATTTATTTTTTTTTGTGGAGTTTAATGTTATTTGAGTTATTTGAAACCAAAAAGAAAAGAAATAAAGCCTGATCAGCAACATTTATGGAACTCCCACTAGAGCTAATGGAATGGGTAGAAGTATCATACTATGTACTCAGAATACTGGGAATTTGATAATCTGTAATAGTCTATTGATTCCAAAAATATCATTAAATAGAACAATTAAGTTCATCAAAATTACCAAAATAATTTATACTAACTAAATGTACATTAAAGCATGAGAAACATGGATAGTTTACATAATTAGCATAAACACATTTATATAACAAAAACTACATATAATATGTAAGGTAGTTCTGGTATTAATTTTCCATTTTCTCCTCCCTCAGGAAATAGAGAAAATATTAATTTGATGCGCTTGAGAATGTCCTGTCTGTCTCCATCCTTCATGGACTGAAGCTAGTTATAAATAAATAGTTTTATTCATAAGAAATGGATAGTCTTATCTTGGTACACTTTTCCAATTCAAATTTTTCTTCATACCTCTCCTGATTACCCCATACTTTTTCCTTGATGTTATGCTCTGGATGATTGTATCCTTATAATTGGCCTTTATTACTTTATTCAAAAAAGTCTTGTTATGTGTGTGTGCATTTGTCTCAGGTTCAAGTATAGAACTTTTATCCTTGACTTTCCTAAGAAAGTTGCTTTCTCTTTTTAAATTGCTTTCCAAATACCTGTCACCTGTTACATATTGCTTTGAAAGTCACTTTTCTTACTGTTTGCTCAGTCTCTTCCTGGATGCTCTTATTTATTTGGCACTCCATGCTTCTGTAATAATGTGAAGTGTTTCTCAAAAGATTTTTCTTCTTAGAACTATAATGTACAGATTGAAGTTCAAGCTGAATAGAGCTGTTACCGCAGCAATTATATAAGAAACAGGAACATGATTATATTTTCTGAACAGCTATAAGTGAAGTATCTTCCCTTGTGAGAAGTGTGTCAACTTTATTGTTTATTTATCTCCCATCGTAGACATACATTAAGCACTGGAATGATACCCTTCTCACCTCGCTTCAAACTTAATTGGGTTATTTTTTTGTTTTGTTTTGTTTTTAAGATTTATTTATTTATTTTTTGTTTATTTATACAAGCATTGGTACAGTCAGAAGCGCGGGAGGGTGAAAGAATTCACCAGAGCCAGAGCGGGGAGCAAAGCAGGCAGAAGGACCGAAGTACACTGCTGAGGGGAGCAGCGGGTGGCAGGAGAGGTCTGCACGCCATGTGGGATCCTCCTCCGGTGACCAGGGAGCAACCAGGGATCGAACCAGCACTGCAGAGGCTGTGGGCAGCTTTGCAACCCAGCGCTCAACCACTGTGCCACTGGGGAGGCCCTAATTGGGTTATTTGACTCTTTGGTTTGCAAGATCACAACTATGAACACAATGGTTACCTCTCCCCCTCCCACTTGTAAACAAATGATAAGATACCCACAGGTTCTGGGTCTCAAGTGGAAACAGGCAGGTTTCTGAATGTGAAGTGAACTAGTCTAAGAATAAATTCTTGATAGTTGAAAATAAAGAAAATTAGCCTTGACCATGTATAGAGGCTTAAGAGGATGATACATTTCAATGCATGTCTTTGGAGCAATTAGTGTGGCAATGGCCTATGCAGGGATTTGATCACATTAAGGAATGTCCTCAAACACAACCCCTAGCTATTAGACATTATTGGAAATAGCTGTAATTTGAGATTTTTATTGATTAGACATTGGATACATAAATACACATGGTTTGTTTTAGAATAATTGCTCTGCATGTTTGCACACACTTAGTTGCTATAAATTAAAAAATAATGCAATGACAGGAGCTTATAAAAGCTAAGCTTAAAGTCAAGCCCCTGCCATTATGGAGTTTATTATGAATATTGTTGTATCTGCATACACATTTTATAATATTCATTTATAAGTAAATATGTGGAATATTTTCAAAAATCACATAAGCATTTGCAAATTAGAACACTGCACTGTGAATATATCAACTTTCACTGACTCATTCGAGAGTATTTACAGAGCACATTTTATTAGTTGTAACTGACCTGCAGATTATTCAAGAGGTAGCAGTAAAAAATACATATATAAATAAGAATTATAACGGGTGATACATGCTATAATAATGTTCTATCAAAATGCCTGAATTTTCAGAATGCAGCGCCTTAAGGTAGATTTTCAAAGATAGAAGCTGCACTGTTTTGTAATAGTTATGTATACAAGATTTAGAATCAAGTAAGATTTATATTAAAATATGAACTGCCACTGACCAGCTATGTGGCTCTAGTAGTTTGCTTAATCTCTGTAAGTTTATGCATGTAATAGGATGTATTGAGATTTACATGAGATGATGTATAGCAAATGTTAACATGTCACTTGGTAATTAGTAATTGTATGATAAATGGAAAGAGGAAAGAAAAGGATAGGCCCTTCAAGAAAGAAGTGATGAATTGATGAGGAAGAACATTAAAAACAGTCAAGAAGTTTAGCTATTTTCTTTGTTAGGGTTCTTTCTCCATAAGAGTGTG